TTAGTTTTTTAAAAAAAGCGCAAGTGAAGAAGTTTAGTGATCGAATGTAATATTCGGCTGCTCGTGCGGCGCCTCCGCCTTTTGCGGCGCCGCGTCGAGGATTTTTTATGTTGGCGATTTTTGCATCGCTGCCGTCCGTTTGTCTACAGGTGAGTGACCCCTGTTACAAGGGGGCTCCAATTCGGCATTATTTTATTGTATTATTTTGTTCTAAATTTTCATTTTTTATTTGTATTTTTTTTTTTTTTATTTTTAACCGACTTATATGAAAATGTGTTTCGAAATTTAAGTCTTTGGGATAAGTTGGTAACAGCTGTATATTAAGTAAAAATTTATCTGTACTTATAAGACAATCTATCACCACACTGTGTCTTATAAATGTTAAAAAGATAAAAGGTTTAATGTCTTTAGCGTATAACATCTAGTTAGGAACGGAAATGTGTAACAGGAAGCGGGAAAATTAGTTTGCCGTCAGAGCATGAGGTGTCAGAGGTTATGTTTCTAGGTGTAATTTATCTATGTATAATATGTATGTATTTAGAAATATATAAGTATGTTTATCAGCAGTCTGGTTACCATAGTACAGGCTCTGCCTAGTTAGGATCTAACAGCCGTGTGTGAGATTATTATTAATATATACGACTGCTATAAGACTCGCTTGGTTTTTACACTGAATAATGGAATACAGGGACAAATACTATTGTATTAGGTTTATTTATTGTCAAAGGTGATAGTAATATAGTTTTTTGGTTAGTTATAAGACTGATATGTATTGATCTAAACTATAAATTATACAATGTTATGTAAAGGTGGGGGCTGACTATTTAAATACTTAATAAATGATTCTTTATGAAAAGTTTTTTTTTTTATTCGTGGCCCTTCTCAGTGAGGCGGGTGTACCAAAACATTCAATCTACGTGGGTACTAAAAACAATCTACTGAATGAAAATATAGGCAAATGAAGATAGACATGAAGAAACCGCCATTCTGAAGTCAGAATGGCGGTTTCTTCATGTTGGAGCGAAAATTAACGTGTGTGCTTTGAACCGCGTCCGATCGTCTTTAAAAACTTAATTCATAGTATCATCATCAACAACCTTATGCATCTTCTTATTAAAGTGGTTATTATGTTGAATGGTTTATGTGAAATAAGCTGTCCACCTGTCTCGGCTCCTAATATTCTGCAATCCACGGGGACGTCGATAGTTTTAACATAAGTCAACTTCATGGTAATCCTTGTGTATACAAATGAAGGCAGTTGTCTATTAAAAAATTATTAGTCCTCTGGTAATTCAATTTAATTAAAACCTGAAAAATATTGGTTATCATTAATTTAAGTAAGTTATTGTTTTTATCTATAAAAAGAAATAGGTACCGAAAGTGAACGATTTCACGAAATAAAAGTGTAGCAACATTCACATATTACAAAAAAACATAATTCAATCAAACACGCTAATCTACAGAGAAAGAGCGGTTAACGGTTAACTACGTTCGATCAGAATCCGATTCCGAATCCATGAAACTACGGTCCGAACTATTTCTATCATCTTTCGGATCTAGTGCGTAAGTTACCCACTAATTACTATACTAGAAAAGCATGCAAAAAAAAACAGGCTACAGCTCTTGCCTTAACTTATCTGGTACCCCCATAGACGGATACATGAACGCCGCTCTGGTGGTGTCAACAAGTATGCGCTGCTATGGTTATTACTGAGACCACGCTGTCTAATTAAAAAAAATATGTCGACATTTTATAAGTCTTCGTACTTTTCACAAGGTACAACTAAACTAAGACTTGGTCATCATTCTGTGTCGAAGGCGCTTACAATGGGATGTCCTCAGGGATCGGTGCTAGGTCCATACTTGTGGAATATCGGCTTCGACGATTTTCTTGCGATACCAATACCATCCGGATGTACTCTGAACGCGTATGCTGATGACGGCTTATTACTGGTGGAATCTGATACTAGGGCGGGGCTTGAGAGATTAGCCAATAGATGTTTGAACTTGATATCTCAATGGGGTGAATGTAATCGCTTAACTTTTGCACCCAACAAAACCTTCCAGCTACTTTTAAAAGGTAACCTCAAATCACCGCCGAGCATTAGATTTGACAATGTTACTGTAAAAAATAAAACTACAGTGTGTTGTCTAGGATTAGTTTTAGAAAGAAACTTTTCATTTATCGAACATATTAAAATAGTTAATGAAAAGTCTAAAAAGAGTTGACGTGCATTGACAAGGATATCAACTGCGACATGGGGTCTATCATTTAATACATTAAAGATCATATACGGAGCTCCTTATTTAGGTTCTATGTGCTATGGTGCACCTGTATGGGCCGATAGGGCGACCGTAGGCGCTGTCCGTCGCAAACTGTTACAAGGCCAACGACTTGCACTGATATTCTTGTGTAAGGCATATAGGACGGTTAGCACTGAGGCTTTGCCGGTGTTGGCGGGTGTGCTTCCGGTTGATCTCGAGGTGCAGAGACGTGCAGCCATGTACTATTCAAGACAACAAAACATGGAATGCGATTTTTTGTGCGCGCGGGATCGCGGTAAAATTACAAGATTGCTTCAACTGCAGCCCGATGTCTATAATGACCTCATAGACGAATGGCAACAACGCTGGGATGAATCATCCAAGGGGCGCCATCTTTACCAATTCTTTCCATCTGTTCGCGAACGGTTGTCGAGGATATGGCTTGAGGTGGATCACTGTGTCGCTTAATTTCTTACGGGTCATGGTAACTTTAAGAGCAAGCTTTATTCATTTAAATTAGTCGAGTCATCATTGTGTCAATGCTCAACACCTAACTCTCACTATGAACAGTCTGCTCATCATATCCTCTGGGAATGTAGTCTTTGGTATAATTAACGTAATATAATGCTGAATAGCTTGCAGGTGACATCTGGGGCGGTATACTATGGGGATCTTGTGTCAACTAGGGTGAATTTCCGTAAGTCGTAGGCAGGTAAAGGTTAGGTCCCAATAGTTAAGTAGCTTAAACGTTTTGGCAGTATAAAGCTGTTTGTTAGTCAGTCAATCAGATATCGAAAACGACTTTCCAATTCCTTTTTGATCAAACTATAGAATAGCTATCGATAATTGGAAAACTTGCGTTAAGTGCAATACAAGACACAGCCGGTCAAAATGCGATTCGTTCAATAGCGATTGATGCACTATCGTTAATTGTCTGCAATAACCTATAATGTAAACGACATGTAAGTCGCGACATGTCAATTGATTGAATGAACTGTCAATTGATAGTCGATTGTGGACGCGAACTGATTAAAGTATAATTAAAGCAATGATGGACGTTAACTGACACGATACAAAGTTCTGCAAGATACATTATACCCACGTCTGACGTGGTACATATAAGATGTTTCTGGAGCTCTATGTATGCAAACCCTATGCTATAAGGCGGATCCTTACTGGATACTACAAATGGTTGAATGACTGCACGGATTACGTAGTTGTTTAAGTGGTCACCACGCCGTTTTCTACTGCGCTGAGTGTTGTAGGTCGATCATCACATGGGTAATACTTTGTGTGATCCACAATTTGTTGCCCTAAGCCTGGGTGCTCCTTGTGTCCATCTTAGCTATGTTTGCAAAATCCTCTGATACACAGAATACATTCCTCATGCGGGAGTTGTAAAAAAAACCACAAAGAATAATAAAACTTCAATCCAGTCAATAAATGCCATTAAATTATTGAAAAATGTGTTTCTTTTTTTGTAAGTTGTACTACTTTTTAAATGAATAACCTGCATATTGGTACGATCTGTGTCTTCAATATATTAAATTTAAATTGTTTTAAATTGCATAAATCTAGTAAGCGAGTTGTATCTATTTTTTTAAAGGAACATAAACATAAGTACAACAAATTAAATGTGCTGTCGCCAGTAATAATAGTCTTAAGTATTTCAGCAAATATAGCCAAAATTTGGCCAAAACGCCGTATAAAATAACCGTTTGGCTAGATGTATGTAGCCTTTATATTATTAAATATCCTGTTGATGGCAATTCCATAACTATTTACTTGTGAACAAGAAGGGACCTAGGACACTGCCTTGAGGAACGCCTTGTAAAGTAAGTTCTTTGGCTGGACAGATATTGCTTTTGTATTACTATTTTTTGGATAACAATAAATTGTTCATACATAAACAACAAGGGGGCCTCGTACACTGCCTTAAGAAACTCTGTATTAAGTAGTTTTTTTTTAATATATTGTTATTAACATAGGTCAAAGGCTTTGGTTATGTTCACATAAGGTCCTATTACTGGTAATATTTACAATACTCACCCAGTGTTCTACACGCTATCATGTACAATGTTGACCTAAAGCTCAATAGATGGCGATAATGTCGAATTAGATGTCACCATTGTTATGTTCACAAGGCCAACGTAAATGGGTCTTTCTAATTTGTAATTTTGGAACAATACTATTACATCCGTTCAGTTGTCGAGTTGTTTTAATTCAACCTTCAGCACACCCAGATCAAGTAGTGTTGTTCCACCGCGAATATCGGCAAAAGCCAAGGCTGGTATTTGTACACCCAGTCTCTATTTATATAGTCAAAGACTCCTAATCGCCATATCAATAACTAGATTTGATTGTGTTTGTTGCTTATTATTTATAAACAACAAGTCGCCTATGAGAGTTCATTTATAATGAATTAAACTCGTCATAAATCTATGCATACATCAAAAAGAAAGGTAATAAAAGCGTCGGTGTAGTGAGACAAAATCTTTATTTGATTTGAAATCTCTGACAATGATAAGACGTAATGGGGCGTGCGATGGCGGACCAGCGGCGCTACTCACCGCTCGGGCTGCGGCGCGCTAGACGCGGCGCGCGGGACACACGAGACGCGCCAGGCGCGCCAGGCACGGGCAGGGCCGGGGCGGCGCGCGCAGCACGGCGGCGAGGCGGCGGCGGGGCGGCGCGGCGGTGCGCGGCAGCTCCCGCAGCGGCCGCGCGCCGCGCTCTCAGCTCGGGAACTTGCAGTACAGCGCGTACTGCAGCGAGTAGCCGGCGAAGCGGCAGTGCTGGCCGTCCAGCAGCGAGTACGTGCCCAGGGCCGGGAACTTCTTCAGCTGTCGCGCGGCTTCCGCGCCCGGGGAGTCCTGCGGAGAGGCGGGTAGACAGCGAATTAGAAATAAAATTCCAACGTCACAGCGAAAACATCTCGGTTTACTAATAGCCTTTTGCAAAGTTAACTTAAGATTACACAAGTAGAGTACTTATCACAGACATGTTCTTGCATTCATTTGCATGTAATGTAAATGAAATTTAAAATTTGAATGTAATGTAATTTAAAATAATTAATTACGTAAGTAAAAACTAGGTATGTTTAGATAAAGCGAAGACCTTCGATTAAGTTGCACATAGAAATTCATCATTAAACTTAAAGCTTTTCCGTCTACACGATTGAACTTGCAAATGAATTGACAAAGAAAGTCATCAAAGCTTCAGAATAACAAAATAAAACAATAACATACTGACTATAACGGCAAAAAGGCTAGCATGCCGCAAGGTTCTATACTGTCACCAACACTATTTCTAATGCATCATACAATTACGCCAATAACAACTCAACGCAAGAGTTTCACGTTTAACATAACTGAAACAGCTCTCTTACAAGAAATACATTTCCTGATTTATTTATTATGGTTTACTTGGTTCAAATTAAGCTTTAAATCAACACATCACTTATTATACTTACCGGAGTAGCGAAAACGGTGAGCACGAACTTATTCGGCCGGAAGGCCTGTAGCACGCGCGTAATCACCTCCTCGTAGCACGACACGGGCACGTTAGACTCGAACGAGACATAAGAGCAGGCCGGCTCAGGTGTTATATGGATCGTCATGTAGCAGCCCTGGACATAGAGGAAATATAACATTACATAAATTGTATGTATGTATAAGATTTTTTTTAAATAAATTCCCAACAAAAAATCATGCATAGGCATAGTTATTTTATCAAATGTTACTAAACTTTGTAGGTTAAAATATAAGTTGAAACGAGAACAACCTCACAAGACAAGAGCTACCAATTTTTATAAAAAATATAAACTTGTTTATAATAACAAAAAAAAAAGATTAGATCACTGTTCGTAGTTACCCTAAGCACTCGTTTTACATAATCAAAAAAAAAATTGGAAAAAATTAACAAAGAATAAAACAAGTTCGCTAATTAACGAAGTAGAATAAAGAACTTACAGATGATATATCCTTATCTCCCTTTAGCAGCGTAAAGAAACAATGTTTACTATTATCAGTTATCTATTTCTGTTATATAAATACGTTCATTGTCCGCATAACAAGAGATATCAAAATACACTACCGATATAAGTATCAAAACTTACTCAATTTGAGAGGTTTGTCAACAAATGCCTACCACATGCAACACCATCTAACGAAATTTATCAGAACTACGTAAATTCTGCATCACGCTATTATGTTACCCATACTCTTATAATAAAACAAAAAATATTTGAACGTAATCAGGGTGTAAGGGACGTCGTAACGAATACTGAAATAGTGTATTCAGACCATGACTCTGAGTCAAAAATCATTGGAATTTTCTGTCGGCAAATTCAAATTTTTTTTTATAATTTCCAATTTTTTGGTTAAAAATGAATAAAAATGAAATATCAACGAGTAAACAGAACATGTTACAGAAAAACTGCAATGTAATTAATCAAACAGCCGAAGCACGCGGGGACTTCCTCCGGCCGCCAAATCGTGTTAGTGTGCGTCAACTGTTTGCACGGAATGCACATGTAGTTATTATTTTAGTACGATACCTACGGGGAATGACCTTAACCTTTGACAGCTGAATGCATAAAAAGTTTAATTTTCCGGCAGAAAATTCCAATGATTGATCCTGATGATGACTCAGAACTATAGTCTAAATACACCATTTCAGTGTTCGTTAGGACGTCCCTTACACCCTTTATACCTGCTAAATGCATGCAATTTTATATATTTTTATTTGTTAGGCATATATGCAGACAACATCAATTATTTCTTTAACAAAATGTGACCTTGTACAGTTTATAAACCTTAAGTCCAATAACATCAGTAAAACACTTACTTGTTAATTAGTTTCATTAAGGAAAAAAATAATTATTATCAAAACAAAATAACAGATTAAGAGTTAATGAATACACTTGTACTTTACCGGTTATATATTATAGTACATGACATATTAATTTATTATCTAATGAATTCAGTACAGAGGTTCTGAAACGTTTTTTTACAAAATTGAATCAAAAAATCAGATTCTTCATGGAAAATGTGTACTTGAGAGCATACATATTCTACGTAATTCTAATATAAGTGGACTGGTCTGGTATAACAATAATAATAACTTTATTACTCTCATAAGATACAGCAGGTTCCAGAGTATCGTGATTATGTGTTAAAAAAATTAATATAAAGTTTTTTAGTGAGAGCTGGAGTCTATACTAGGCTCGAAACCTGTATGACAGATCTCAAAGCCCTCCCTACGGTCATAATATTTCAATTATGAATAACTTAAAAACAGTGTATCTGCGCCGACAAAAAAATAATAATACTATATACATTGTTGTTAGAAGAACGATTGCCAAACAACTATGGAACACGATAGTATCTAACTTATTAGACCACTAGCCAAGACCAAGTCAACTAAAAAACTCGGCAAATACAAGTTAATAAAAATAAAACAAGCAGATTAAATGATACTCACATCTTTAGCAACTCCATTCATGGAATATCCACACGGATCAAACAGGAAATCGTCTATGACCATCCCCGGGATTATTTTGTCTATGCCGGACTCCTGAAAAAAAGAACAGTCATTTTATTTATTTTATTTATCTGCAACACATACTTATCATTCAACTTGACTCATTGGTTCGTTGGGAATTTAATCGTTTACAAACAGGACAAATCAAAAAGATTGGGATAAGAAAAATGGAAGAGTTAAGAAGAAACAGAATTGCTGGAGGACTCCTGGGGTGGTATAACCATATCGCATGTTAACTTTTCTGACGCTAACCCTCCTTGAGAACGTAGTCATTTTTAGATGGAACAACAAGACATGGGGCATAGGGCAACTGGAATTTAGACACTTATAGGACGTAAGTCTCAGATGGAGAGGCGGGACTGTCTTCAGTACTGCGAAGGGTGGCATACTCGTTTGGACTTATGGTATGCATCATGTGATTGCAGAGTCCGCTACGTGAGGGCCTCAACCGCTCATCTTAGAAGCTTCTTAAGATGTTTTTTTATGAAATAAACAGATTTTTTTTGTATTTGTATCCTCAGAAATCTGTTTTTCATGGAAAATTATTAGATTTTATTCTAACTGATAGTGATGATCTTCTTCATGGGCTGGTATCAAAATGTTAAAACTTCAAACAAATTACTTACAAATTTTCTAAACTTTACTGACATGTTTCTGTAAATATAAGTAGGTAAATAATAATAATAAACATACGCGTGTGGCTTGTGCAGCATTAGCTGAGTACTGTCTTGTGAAGATCTCCATGACAGCTGGATCAAGGTCTGACATGAGGATCTCAATGGTCTGGTCGGGCTCCAAGAGCTCGTTGGCGGCGCAATGTTCTTTCTCCAGGGCGTCTACTGTACCCTCCAAGGGCAGGAGCGTGTATAGGTACCAACAGTCCTTCTCAGGACCCATCGATATATGCGCGCCCATCGCCAAAGAATGAATCGAGAAGTTTACCTGTAAAGAGTAAAAGTATAACCTTAATCACTTGATATTAATGTTATAGTAGCGTCATCCGTATATAATGAAAAACATACTTGCAATACCATCTAACGAAGACACATTGTACTACAACGAAGTAACTACTAATCCTGAGTCACTCTATGAAAGTTGTCGATTAGTATGTGGAGAAACGGGTGTCTTGTCCCTGCAGCACAAGGGAATGGACCAGGCGAGGTGATCATGCCTTGCGAATCGTGACCCAACGTTATGTGCTAATCGGAGAATGTGTGAGAATATGTGAGAATTATTTATATCGCGATACAGGATTATCGGTTACTCCGTAGTTCGGTATGTCTTCGTTAGACTACATGTGAAAGTCGCCACAGTCGTTATTCGGTGTCTTTGTTAGATGGCGCTGTAGTATGTTTTATACGACTGCCCAAACATCAAACGTTGAGCAGCGGCCCACCAGGCATTATCACCTCGCCTGGTAGGATGATCCTCCACATAATAATCAAACGAATGGATGTGCTTTAAGCAATTATAAACTCTTATAAAAGGTCCATTTTTTATTATATGCCCGTTTTGTCAATAAATATATTTAATAGGTGACTGATGACAGGGAATTATATTGTAGATATTATGACTACTAATTAATTACTCATTATTGACTGTAGAATTACACTAGTTAAATTTATTTATAGACATTCTAGCCGGTAAAACAGGCTAATAACCTTTAAATGAACGAAGAGAACGAAATTAATTACTTGCTTTCATTTAATTTAATATGTAATACATACACAATCTTACTTAAAAACTGAGGTAGAATTTAAAAAAATGTAGTTAAAAGTTTTATTCTAATTATTCTTTTAACTGTGGTAATTTATAGATAACTATGACACATATGGTTATGCAAAGGTGGTTGATTAAATAATATTCCGGCTATCATCATCATCATCAGCCTATCGCAGTCTACTGCTGGACACCCACAAAAGTTACAAGAAAGTAGTCGCCCTTTGCGTTTCTCCTCTTAAAAAATAGAGGGGATTGGGGTTTGGGCCCCGGTTATCTCGCTCCGTGTGTCCGTGTGGTGACGGATTAAGAATACGGAGTGTCACCACCCCTATTATCCGGCTGACGGTTTAAGAATACACATCCCATGGATGTCGTAAGAGCCGACTAAGGGAGCAAACTACGCAGAGCAACACTACTACAAAGAGTTGATACAAACCCTATACCAAACCGTCTGGCCAGCGTGATATAATAGGCCTTTCTAAGGAGAGGCCTATGTCCAGCAGTGGACTATTAAATGCTGCTCATGTGATGTGACATGTACTGTACATTACTATTGTCGGTTGAACCCAGAAGCGTAGTGTGGTCTAATATAGAGGTGGGTCTCATCAGCGTGGCCCAATTTCTTTCGATCCCAAGATCTACCCAACAAATATATCTTACTAAAAATACTTTGACACGAAATACCTACTCATGACAGTGAAAAAAGGATGTGAGCAAGACAACGGATCACGATCACAGATCGGAGAATCCCCAAATGACAGACAAGCTTTCTTATATGCAACTCCTACACTTCTAGTCACTCGCCCAAGTTTAAATAAACGAAATGGCTTATCGTCTTTATAAAGTGTTTTTTATTATTTCAGGATAAATGTATTTTCATTTTTGTTTTACCATGCGCTGAGTGTTGGGGGTTCAATCCCCACATGGGATCCTGCCAAGCCCCGCTGTGGCACATTGACGTGTGCGTTACCCCAGCAAAATAATGTCGAAAATGGTCATTTAAACTTTATAGATAATTAGTTGCTCCCCCTTCTGTAATTGTTAAGCACATTTTTAAATTTGTTTCACTTACACTTTTTTAGTTATTTCAAAAAAACATTTCCTGCTGGAGTAACGTTTGAAACGTTACCGCAGCCAGACATTTTCTTTTTAATTGTAATATTGAAATAAATTTTAGCTAGATAATTAGTTATCTGGACTAGGTAAATGTTACAACTTATTTGGTATTTGTATTTTCTTCGGCTGCGAAGTTATTCAAAATCCTGCTGGAGTAACGTTTGTGGGTTTGCTGGATCTCTGAAACGGGTAAGCGGATTGTAACCATCTTTTGTACATAACTTCTTAAGGGTTAGTTTTAATTTGTTCGACAATAAAACAACAAAAATAATGGACGTTTAAAAATTATTTAGGTAAGTATGAAAACACTTCAATACGTCCTAACACTTTAAATAAGACCTCTAAAGACTTACTTCAAACGTTATTCTATTGCTTGAAACTACCTTCAAATGTAAACGAATTTTCGTAAGAATACTGTAAGTGACTAAAAAGTTATGATGAAATGTAGCTCTCCACGTTCACGATCACAATGTGTGCGGCCTTTTTTGGCCACCGATAAACCTGTGTGTGGATATATAAACTGAATGTTATGCCAATAATTAGTTGTTTAGTTCAGTTGTCTACCTGTAGAATTTCAGCGTCGTACATATAATAATTTACGAGATAACTAAATAAAAGTCATTAGAAGGTGCAAGTCCGTGGTAATCCGACCATGTTTAGGTGGTTACATAAAAAGCGATCACCCAGTACATTGTGCTGGCTTTTAAAATATGTAGGATATTATTTGTAAGTTTACTACGGATATGTACATAAGTGTTACAAAAAACTACATGTTTTTTAAATAATTTTTATTAGGATTGTTTATTGCATAATTAGTAATCAGCCGGGAGATTAGGTATTGTTTTGAATGCTTTTGTTTCCTCGTAATGTTTAGGTGAATTGTTTATAGTTGTTCATAGAATTGGTACTTGCGTAGTATTTGTTATTTGAAGTTTAATTTTAGGGTAGGTATAGGTAATTTAAGTTTTGAAGAGTGTAACGTATGCGTTGTAAATAGGTATTTTGTGAATAGATGGGGATTTTTTTAAGTGATGAATCGACTTAGGCTAGCATATCGCGAACAAACTCTGTATTGCAATATTTCTGTAATAATGTTGGAGAAAATAAAATATTTGATCACAAAATCGCGGTGAGTTAAATTATAATAAAATAAATTATTTATGTAAAATTAGTAATAAGTGATATACCTACCTACAAGTTATGATCGTTTTTAATTTGTTCACCCTGAACAGAATTTCAATATTAGCATTAGTAATTAATATCCTAAGACAAGAATTGACAATTACTTAAATTGAATCGAATTAGCATTAATGCCCATTATTAGTAATTAGGTACACACATATTGAAGAACTCTCAAGACAATAAATATTTGCAAAAATAGAAAGCGGAAGCGCACACGTACTTTACAACACGTATATTATCTGCCTAAGGGTCAAGTTTAGTGCACTAGATGCAAATTGCAAACAATGAAGTATCTCTTCGCCCCTCCCCTCCCGCGTTCTAGATGTATTATCAGCGATTCTTGATTGACAAATATTATCTGACCAATAATTTTATCTATAAAATGTATCACTTTCACTCGATTAATTAAATTACCGTTATTGTATCAAAATATCATTCAACAACTGTTCGTTTTTAACAGAAATCAACAGTCACGGGCTCAACGCTTAACGGTAGGTACATAGGTATAGATAATTCTCGGTTCTCGGTATAGACCCACAGAACAATATTACCTACTCTTACGAGGTATACGACTGTTGGGGCGATGCAATGTTGATGCATTCTAATTTACAACTGTATTCTTTCTACTATTCGGTCTATTTTAACTTATTGTAGATGACTTGTTGCTTTAAATATTTTGATGCATTCAAGTCTAAGCTCTATACACCCCAAAAATAAATACAATTACTTTAGTGTTATTTCTTTACAAAAAAAATCAAAGAAATGAAACGATTTCTTATTGGTTTAAATTTTCGATTTATTGCAGTCAGGTGAATCGTTCATACATGTATTTACATATTTATAATTTTAGCGGACCAGTGCAGATTTTCTGTTGATTGTAGCTCCGGTAGTAAAAGAGACTAAAGAAATTTTAAGTAAAGAAACTAGTGCTTAAGATCACTTAGGGAAAAAAACAAAATAAATAATAGGTAATAATAATGAATAAATATTGAATGTATTTAACACTGTACGCAACTGTACCGAAATCATAAGGTGTATTACACTAAACATTTTAAAAGACAGCGCAATGTACTGGGTGATCGCTTTTTTGTAACCAACCTAAACATGGTCGGATTACCACGGACTTGCACCTTCTAATGACTTTTATTTAATTATCTCGTAAAATATTATATGTACGACTCTGAAATTCTACAGGTAGACAACTGAACTAAATAACTAATTATTAGCATAACATTCAGTTTATATATCCACACACAGGTTTATCGGTGGCCAAAAAAGGCCGCACACATTGTGATCGTGAACGTGGAGAGCTACATTTCATCATAACTTTTTAGTCACTTATAGTATTCTTACGAAAATTCGTATACATTTGAAGGTAGTTTCAAGCAATAGAATAACGTTTGAAGTAAGTCTTTAGAGGTCTTATTTAAAGTGTTAGGACGTATTGAAGTGTTTTCATACTTACCTAAATAATTTTTAAACGGTCCATTATTTTTGTGATTTTATTGTCGAACAAATTAAAACTAATCCTTAAGAAGTTATGTACAAAAGATGGTTACAATCCGCTTACCCGTTTCAGAGATCCAGCAAACCCACAAACGTTACTCCAGCAGGATTTCGAATAACTTCGCAGCCGAAGAAAATACAAATACCAAATAAGTTGTAACATTTACCTAGTCCAGATAACTAATTCTCTAGCTAAAATTTATTTCAATATTACAATTAAAAAAGAAAATGTCTGGCTGCGGTAACGTTTCAAACGTTACCCCAGCAGGAAATGTTTTTTTGAAATAACTAAAAAAGTTTAAGTGAAACAAATTTAAAAATGTGCTTAACAATTACAGAAGGGGAGCAACTAATTATCTATAAAGTTTAAATGACCATTTTCGACATTA